GCGCGAGCCTGCGCCGGCCACCCAGCCCACCGCCCAGCGGGGCGCCCGGAACAGGGGGCGGGCAGGCAGGAGAGGAAGCAAGGAGAAAGGGAAGAGAAGAGGCGGGCGAGCCTTGGTCTGCGGCCAACTGCACGCGCAGAGCCAGCCAGAATGACGCGCAGAGCCCTGGTCTGCGGCCAACTGGGCCCTGATGCAAAGAATCACTAGCGACCAGCCAGCAGGTCGCTGTCGCTGGGGCAGCGGCCCCACGCGGGGCGGCAGCGGCCGCGCCCTCGCTGCTGGGGGCCAAGACTGGCCTCCCTCCCACCCGCGGCCCGGGGGCCTGGCCGAGGGGCCTTCCCACGCCCTCGGCGGAAAGGAACGGGGGCGCTCGCAGCGCGCGCGGCCCCGGTTGCCCGCGCCCCTGCGCGAGGTCCCTGACGTTGGGCCCCAGGCGCGCCAGGAAGCGCCGCGCGGCGCCTGGGCCCACCGCAAGACGCAAAGGGCTCCTGCGGTGACGCGAGCACCTGTTGCCGCTCGTGCAACTCCCGCCGGCACGGGAAGGGGCCAGTCTGGCGCCCCCCCCGCCCCGCTGCTGCCCTGGCTGGCCTGGCCACGGCTGGCCCGCGCGCCGACCCGACCTCGTTCTGGCACCGCGCCAGGAGGGGCCAGTCCATCTCCTGGAAGACACGGGAGACGTTTTCGCGGCTCTTGGCGCCCGCGCTCCCGCACTTGCTGGCCGCGCGCGCCTCCTGGAGGAGCCGTGCGGCGTAGACCGCCGCCGCTCTCTCGGCCCGCGCTGCCACGGCGGCATTGCCCGGCGCTGCCGCAGCAGCCTGGCCCACCCAGTTCAGGGCGTCGCCCCAGGAGGCGCGGCACTGAAAGGTAGCGGTCCAAACGCGCGGCAACTCCTGGCACAGGGTCTGCGCCAGCAGGCGCGGGGGCCACACCGCGCCGTCCACCTTCGGCGAAAGCGTCTGGAGGAAGCGCCCAAACTTGCGCGCCGCGGCGGCGGCGCGCAAGGCGGACTCGTCCGGCGGCTCGCCCTGGCCAGCGGCCTGCGCCAGCTTCGTCGGCCAGTCGGCCAGGTCGTACTCCCGCGTCAGCTGCTCCAGTTTTTTCGCGACCTGTCTGCAGGCCGCCGCGAGGACATCCCCGAGGAAGACGCTGCTCGCCGCCGAGCCCTGCACAGGGGAGGCGCCAATTCAATCCCCAGGCAGACGGTCGGCGGAAACATCGGGCCCGGGCTGCGGCCCTGGGGCGACCGGGTGGCCGAGGGCCCCCAGAACCTCTTGATCCGTCGCCCGCTCGCAGGGGCCCCGGCTGGAAGGGCACGCCTTGAGCAACGCCTTGCCGCCCATGATGCGAGCATCCTTGACCAGCTCGTTGGCGTCGTCCGCCGTGTGGCGCTCTTCTGGAGGCTGGAAGCCAGTTGCTGCCAGCGCCCCTCGGCGGCGAGCTCCGCAGGCAACGTGGCCCTCAACGCCGTGAGCGTGGCCAGCACTGCGTCGCTGGCGCCCGCGGCCAGCACTTGGACGACAGAGCACCAACCGCTCCTCCTGCAAGTGGGTGACCCTCCCGTAGGTGCACCTCCAGCCCCGGGTGCAGCTGGGCCGAGTGGCGCCCCTGCTCCTGTACCTTCTGCAATGGGTGTGGGAAGGTGGGGAGGAAGAGGCTAACAGAACTGGGAAGTAAGCTAAAGACAAGCGGCCCCCCCTGATCTGGAACGCCCCAAAAATTTCCAAGGAGGCCGCCAGGAGGCCCAAACCGTTCAAAAACATATGGAACGTCAACGATGTTGGCATTCTCGCCCTTTTGCTTCTGATGGGTTCCCGAGGCCTCAAGATGGTTCCACAATTGCCCAAAAGTGGCCCAAGAGGAGCCCAAGATGGCCCCAAGACGACCCTCAGAGCACCCCAAGAGGACCCCAAGAGGCGCCTTTGGGGACCCCCCCCTCTTTGATCGATATCCTCCAAGATGATGCCAAGAAGGTCTCAAAAGCCCCCAAGATGTCCCCAAGATGGACCCAAAGTGGCCACAAAAGGCCCCTAAGAGGCCCCCAGGGGGCCCCCAAAACGCCCCAAGGGGCCCCCAGAAACGCCCAAGACGACCTAAAATCCTAAAATGCCCCTGGGACCGCCAAGAGACTCTCAAGACGCCCCATGAGGCCTCCAATAGGCCCCTGGCCCTTTTGCTCGCCCCCCTCCTCCTCTAACTCTTCCTCCTCTTCCTCCTCCTCCTCCTCCTCCTGCTCCTCCTCCTTTTCCTCCTCCTCCGCCTCCTCCTCCTCCTCCTGCTCCTCCTCCTCCCCTCATCCTCCTCCCTCCTCCTCCTCCTCCCTCCTCCTCCTCCTCCTCCCTCCTCCTCCTCCTCTGCAAGCTTCTGGCGTGTGTTCTTCCTCCTCCTCCTCCTCCTCCTCCTCCTCCTCCCTCCTCCTCCTCCCTCCCTCCTCCTCCTCCTCCTCCTCCTCCTCCTCCTCCTCCTCCCTCCTCCTCCTCCTCCCTCCCTCCTCCTCCTCCTCCTCCTCCTCCTCCTCCTCCTCCTCCTCCTCCTCCTCAGCCGCCGCCGCCGCCTCCACTATTTCATATGCTTGTTCCTCCTCCGCCCTCCTCCCGTTTCCCCCTCCACCCCTCCCAACACGTCCTCTGTCCTCACCCTGTTGGGGTACGACAGCTTCCCCAACCCACTATTCCAACGCATGCCCCTCTACACCCCTGGTCAAGGCGACTGGCATGAGCATCCTGTCTGTGTGTGTTTGCTGGTGGGGGCACATTTTGGTCAGCAGGCTCGCGAGGCGGGCCGAAAGCCGTCCGAACACTAGTCGGGCCGCGACTGGGCAGCAGCAAAAGAAAGGCACGCGAAGCGAGCGAGCGGGCAGCCACTCAGAAGGAGAGCCAGAACCGATACTCCCAAACCCGGTGGCGTGGAAATCCCGGTGGCGACCAGCAAGTAAGCGCAGCCAAAATGGCGCGGCGGCGCTGGTGGGGGTACCTTTTTGTTGCCAGCCGCAGGCGAGCGCGCCGACGGCGTGTCAAGGTCCGAGCGGGCCGCGCAAGGTCCTAAATTACCTAAAAAGCAGGCCTACCACCGCAACTCAGAACGGGACCAGGAGGTAGCCGAATAGGGGGCAGAGCTGTAAAGCTGCCAAGGTCTGCAAGCGTGCATCGAGCTGCAGGCGCGCTGCTGACTGCCAGGGGAACTGACTGCCAGGGTCTGCAGGCTGCCAGAGGTGAATTGAACTGCAAAACGTGGACAAACGCTGCAACTGGAGAGGCTGCCAGGGTGGCACTACTGGAGGTATGTTTTTTGGTCGCGCCCGCTAGCAAAAGCGCAGACGGTGACAGAAGCTGTCCGGGGCGCTGAAACAGTCCTAATGAGCTGCTAGGCGCGAAACGGGCCAGCCGGGCCAGCTCACAAGGCAGCTGCTGAGCCGCTCGGGCAGGGCTGACAGGCTGAGGGTACCCAGGGAAGCTCGGGCAGCGTGCAGTCCTGAGCAAAATGCCAGGGAATTCCATGTACGCCCTGCGGCGTGAACCACTCAGTGAAAGCGAGAACGTAAGCGAGCTGATGCTCACACCCCTCACACGCCTGGTGGTCGCAAAGGCGAGGTGAACGATGAACGAGTCGCCAGCGGGGCGCCAAGTCCAGGTCCGCACCAACGGTGTATGCAAGAGAGGTGGGCTAAGCAACCGAGGTGACGTCGTAGACCTGCCTGAATGGCTGGGACGGATCCAGGGGAAGCGCGGCGACTACTGGCAGTATTTTTTGGTTGGCGGCTCCCAGGCGAAGGTCGGGAAGCGGTGCATCGAACGGGGCGCAGAACGAAGATAATGAGCCGAAGAGGCGCATGCACATACAAGGGACAAAATGACCCAAATTAAACACGGTAGTCCGACGCCGACATCCCGGCGGGCGGGGACGCCACGTCGCAACGTGCGGCGACAACTGCGGCACAGCGTGGAGAAGTCGCACCAGCGGGCGGGGACGCCACGTCGCAGCGAGCGGCGGCAACGGCGGAACGGCGAGGCCAAGTGAACTGTAACAGCGGGGAGAAGTCGCCCTGTCGGCGCCAAACTCCGGCCGACCGACACACGGAAGCGAGGCTCGGCCGAGAGGGGGACAAGAGAGCAGCTGCGGACGTCAGTCGGGGCACACCGCGTCAGAAAGAAAAAGAAATGCGGCACAGAGAACGGCCTCACTCACCATGGCTCACTGGCGAAGACCTCGGCACAAGCCCGCCCTTGCAGGAGAGGGGGGCGACCCAGCCAGCGAACACGAGGTATCGCCACCTCCAGCCTGTAGCCAGTGCGTACACAACGTATCCGACTCTCGCGGTTCGGGGGCACAACGTTGCAAGTGCTGACAGAGGCAGGTGCGACTCGGGTCTGCTGGGAGAACGGCCATGAACTGCAGAAGGATGAACCACTCGTGCAGGGCCACTCCCTGGTGAAGCCCGACGTCAGGTAACACCGGAAGTGAGGTTAGCGAACACGCCTATCTCCACCTTTCAGGAAGCCAGAGCGACGTCCTTGTGGTAGCGCCATGACTGGGTCAACGTAGAACCAAGACGATACGCAGGTGGGGGGTGGCACTGCCTGCCGCTGAGCGCGGTGTCAACGGGGAAGGGCTGACCCCACTCCACTGCAGCAACACGACAGCGTACGCAGGCTGGCAGCAAGCCGATGACTAGTGGCAGTACGCGAAGCGTCTAGAATTTCCTTTGTCCTTCTTCCTCTGGCACGGGGGAGGGGGGCTGGGGGCGCGGCGCGGAGGGGGATGGGCTGTGCAAGCGGGACAAAAAAGGATGATGGAAACTGCCAACCTCCGAACTGGTGGGAGGGGGACTCCACGGCAACGAGAGAGGTCTGGAGTTAGCGACGGGCAGGGGAGGAGGAAGAGGGGAAAGAGGCGAAGGAGGAAAGGATGAGGAGGAGGGAGGAAAGGAGGAGGAGGAGGAGGAAGACGGACGAGGGAGAAGAAGGAAGGGCAGCGAGATTCAGAGACAAGGGTGGGCTGAGCGCCTTCTCGACGGTGTCGAGGTGGAAAGTGGTGTCATCGTCGCCGAGCAGCAGCCACCTCCCCGCAGCCCTGACCGATCATGGCTTAGCACAGGGGGGAGGAGGAGGAGGAGGAGGAGGAGGAGGAGGAGGAGGAGGAGGAGGAGAACCTATGTAAACCCAAGACGCACCAACGAGATTGCAATAATCTCTCACTCCAAACTCCCTCTTCATAGGCCACATACGAAGATTTATTTTCACATAAGGAAATGCCCCGCTAGAAGACAACTGTTTGTAAGTCCTGAACTGTGCCAGAACACCATCCCTGGGACGTCAACGACGCGAATCACCGATGCTGTTGCGTGTTGACGACCCTGAATCGTGTCAGGACGCCAGCCCTGGGACTTCAACACCGCGAATCAACGTAACTGCTGCGCCCGGACAAGGCGGCATCGTGTCATAACCGTACGTCTGGGATGTTAAGCACGGGAACCTTTCCACCCGCTGAAAACTCTCAAACCACGCTACGGCGATAATTAACCACATTCGGAAAGCTGCCCGCCCCCCACCCGAGAAACTCTCGCAAGCGAAACTCCTGCGTGTGCGGCGTTAACGCGAGAGCCACATTTCGAACCAGAGCCACGCGCGCGCTTCGCGCGCTTAGGTTCTAGTATGCACCCGCCGTTGACACATTCACAGCTGTATGCATGCACGCACACATCCCAACATGAATTGGCCGTGACATGAAACAGAACACGAACGCGGACTGAACATTACCGTCAGAGGTGCGCCAAAAGCCGTACTGAAGCCGAGCTTATATCTTGTCACAAGACCCCGAAGCTTGGCATCGGCTACGGTGTTGACGACAAAAGTGCACCACCAGAACATGAATATGAGCATCCAGGTTTGGGCTTCCACACTCCGACTCCAACACCAACCTCAGCGCCACTAGAACCTCATCGCTCGAACGTTGCCGATCAAGACTTCGTGGATCCTTCGACGACCTGAACGACGACAACCTCGACGTCAACCCCGAAGACGACCTGCCACCCGCGGATCTCCCAGAGGATACCACGCCAACTCCCGCCGCGAGGACATCCACTACCGTCGCTCAGGAGACAAGGAGCACGAGATGGACACGGTAATCTTCTGACGCCCACTTCGACCTCATTCGAGCTCGCGAAGAGCTTGTTAATGTGATAATCCGATCTCCTCAAGTTGGCCAACGCCCGACCAAGTCGAGTATCACGGAGGGGGTCTTGCTTGATACGTCGAATGGGAAATGGGAGATGCTTTACCAACGTACCGCACACCTATCAGACGCTCTCTGGGAAAGGTTGGTATGCGATTCGCATAGTTACGGGAATTCAGACGAACAATATGATATACCGTTTTCTGTACACTGGCATGGTTTTCTGAAATTTCGGAGGAGGAGGCTATGCTAGTACAACTACGTGTAAGACGGCCCATGAGAAAATCCAGGGCCTCGAACGTATGCGAGTTGCACAACATGGCGACTGCATGAATGTGCCCTCTTGCTGGCGAACCACTTGTCCAATCCGAGGCCATGGCCCGCGAGGATTGGCAGGACTTCGCGTACCAGCGTCTACCCAACAGGGGTAGATAAGATACCCATGGACAACAAGTTCGAGGCCTCTATCTGCAATCACGGGGGACTCCAAGGATCCTGTGAGACGCCTCGATAACTCGTAGGACGATGCGATAAATGCTACAACAAAATCCACGAGGCCATCGGGACCCCCATCTACATTCACAACGCCTTTGGGACCCCTGCCCTAGATTGCCCCGTGATAAGTTTCGCAAATGATTCAGTTAATCGCTTCGCTCATTCCGCCGGCCCTGGAGCGCTATTTGGGGCCTCTTGGGGCCGTCTTGGGGGCCTCTTGAGGGCTTCTTGGGAGCGTCTTGGGGCTCCTTGGCGGCGTCTTGACCTCCCCTGGGGCCTCTTGGGGGGCTCTGGAGAGCCCCTTGGGGCGGGAGGGGGGGGTAGTCGATTGCAGGCCCCCACTCGGAGGCCACGATCCTCGTGAGGGGTGGCGAAAAATAGCCTCCCCTCTGGGGATCAGGGAGTGAGTGACTCGAGCGAGCAGCTAACTATTCGACGTTCTGCTTGAAGTGGGCCTGTCGGTGTGGTGACGTCGCTCGAGGCGGGGCGGCATCCCCGCTCACTCCTCTCGCGTGGCCCGCCGGTGCGACGAGGGGCGCTCGCGGGCTGCACCCTCCTGCTGCCTGTAGACTTAAGCCCACGGGCAGGATTGCTGTGGATGCCACGACACTGGACACCCTAACAGTCCGATCCTCGAAGTAAAGATATGTTTAAAACGTCGGCAAAATGTCCTGACAATGTTTAAAACAGGTTTTTTATATTGTAAAGCAGGTTTCACACATGTTCTAGACATCTGGAGATCATTTGGCAACATGCTTCCTCTCCACTGATCGTCCTCCACAACAGTCTTGCCCAACCACCTTGGGTCACGCTTGTGGAGAGGAGGGCACGGTGCAG